GCCCGGGGGCCCAAAACGCCGCGAGGGTCTGAGGGTCACGAAGGGAGTAGCGAAAGCTTCGCTCGAAGTCCATGCCCAGGTGTTTGTTGTTTTGTTTTTGTTGTTCCCCTTTGGTTTCTCTTTGGTGTTCCGGTGTGTCTTTGGTGTTTCGTTTTTTTTTTTTTTTGTTGTTGTTTTTGTTGTTCCCCTTTGGTTTATCTTTGGTGTTCCGGTGTGTCTTTGGTGTTTCGTTTTTTTTTTTTTTGTTGTTGTTTTTGTTGTTCCCCTTTGGTTTCTCTTTGGTGTTCCGGTGTGTCTTTGGTGTTTCGTTTTTTTTTGTTGTTGTTTTTGTTGTTCCCCTTTGGTTTCTCTTTGGTGTTCCGTGTGTCTTTGGTGTTTCTTTTTTTTGTTCTTGTTGTTTTGTTGTTCCCCTTTTTCTCTTTGGTGTTCCGTGTCTTGTTTTTTTTTTGTTGTTCTTTGGTTTCCTTGTGTCTTTGGTGTTCGTCTTTGGTGTTCCGGTGTGTCTTTGGTGTTTCGTGTTGTTGTTTTTGTTGTTCCCCTTTGGTTTCTTTTTGGTGTTCCGGTGTGTCTTTGGTGTTTCGTTTTTTTTTTTTTTTTTTTTGTTGTTCCCCTTTGGTTTCTCTTTGGTGTTCCGGTGTGTCTTTGGTGTTTCGTGTTTTTTTTGTTGTTGTTTTTGTTGTTCCCCTTTGGTTTCTCTTTGGTGTTCCGGTGTGTCTTTGGTGTTTCGTTTTTTTTTTGTTGTTGTTGTTTTTGTTGTTCCCCTTTGGTTTCTCTTTGGTGTTCCGGTGTGTCTTTGGTGTTTCGTTTTTTTTTTTTTGTTGTTGTTTTTGTTGTTCCCCTTTGGTTTCTCTTTGGTGTTCCGGTGTGTCTTTGGTGTTTCGTTTTTTTTTTGTTGTTGTTTTTGTTGTTCCCCTTTGGTTTCTCTTTGGTGTTCCGGTGTGTCTTTGGTGTTTCGGTTTTTTTTGTTGTTGTTGTTTTTGTTGTTCCCCTTTGGTTTCTCTTTGGTGTTCCGGTGTGTCTTTGGTGTTCCGTTTTTTTTTTTGTTGTTGTTGTTTTTGTTGTTCCCCTTTGGTTTCTCTTTGGTGTTCCGGTGTGTCTTTGGTGTTTCGTTTTTTGTTTTGTTGTTGTTTTTGTTGTTCCCCTTTGGTTTCTCTTTGGTGTTCCGGTGTGTCTTTGGTGTTTCGTTTTTTTTTTTTTTTGTTGTTGTTTTTGTTGTTCCCCTTTGGTTTCTCTTTGGTGTTCCGGTGTGTCTTTGGTGTTCCGGTGTTTTTTGTTGTTGTTTTTTGTGTGTGTTGTTTTCGTTGTTCCCGTTTGGTTTCTCTTTGCTGTTCCGGTGTGTCTTTGGTGTTTCGTTTTTTGTTGTTGTTGTTTTTGTTGTTCCCCTTTGGTTTCTCTTTGGTGTTCCGGTGTGTCTTTGGTGTTCCGGTGTTTTTTTTTTTTGTGTGTGTTGTTTTCGTTGTTCCCCTTTGGTTTCTCTTTGGTGTTCCGCTGTGTCTTTGGTGTTCCGGTGTTGTTGTTTTTTGTTTTGTTTTTTGTTTGTTGTTTTTGTTGTTCCCCTTTGGTTTCTCTTTGGTGTTCCGGTGTGTCTTTGGTGTTCCGTTTGTTTTTTTTTTTTTTTTTGTTGTTGTTTTTTTTTGTGTTTTTTTGTGTTGTTTTTGTTGTTCCCCTTTTGTTTCTCTTTGGTGTTCCGGTGTGTCTTTGGTGTTCCGTTTTTTTTTTTGGTTGTTCCCCGTTGGTTTCTTTTTGGTGTTCCGGTGTGTCTTTGGTGTTCCGTTTTTTTTTTTTTTGTTTGTTGTTGTTTTTGTTGTTCCCCTTTGGTTTCTCTTTGGTGTTCCGGTGTGTCTTTGGTGTTTCGTTTTTTTTTTGTTGTTGTTTTTGTTGTTCCCCTTTGGTTTCTCTTTGGTGTTCCGGTGTGTCTTTGGTGTTTCGGTTTTTATTTTTTTTTTTGTTGTTTTTGTTGTTCCCCTTTGGTTTCTTTGGTGTTCCGGTGTGTCTTTGGTGTTTCTTTTTTTTTTTTTGTTGTTGTTTTTGTTGTTCCCCTTTGGTTTCTCTTTGGTGTTCCGGTGTTGTTTTTGTTTTTTGGTTTTGTTTTTTTGTTGTTGTTGTTTTCCCCCTTTGGTTTCTCTTTGGTGTTCCGGTGTTGTTGTTTTTTGTTGTTGTTTTTTGTTGTTGTTTTTTGTTGTTGTTGTTTTCCCCCTTTGGTTTCTCTTTGGTGTTCCGGTGTTGTTGTTGTTTTTGTTTTTGTTTTTGTTTTTTGCTTTTTTTGTTTCCCTTTGGTTTCTCTTTGGTGTTCCGGTGTTGTTGTTTTGTTGTTGTTGTTTTTTTTATTGTTTTTTTTTGTTCCCCTTTGGTTTCTCTTTGGTGTTCCTGTGTTGTTTTTTGTGTTTTTGTTTTTGTGTTGTGTTTTTGTTGTTCCCCTTTGGTTTCCCCTTTGGTTTCTCTTTGGTGTTCCGGTGTGTCTTTGGTTTCTCTTTGGTGTTCCGGTGTGTCTTTGGTGTTTTGTTGTTGTTGTTTGTTGTTCCCCTTTGGTTTCTCTTTGGTGTTCCGGTGTGTCTTTGGTGTTTCGTTTTTTTTTGTTGTTGTTGTTTTTGTTGTTCCCCTTTGGTTTCTCTTTGGTGTTCCGGTGTGTCTTTGGTGTTCCGTTTTTTTTTTGTTGTTGTTGTTTTTGTTGTTCCCCTTTGGTTTCTCTTTGGTGTTCCGGTGTGTCTTTGGTGTTTCGTTTTTTTTTTGTTGTTGTTTTTGTTGTTCCCCTTTGGTTTCTCTTTGGTGTTCCGGTGTGTCTTTGGTGTTTCGTTTTTTTTTTTTGGGTTGTTGTTTTTGTTGTTCCCCTTTGGTTTCTCTTTGGTGTTCCGGTGTGTCTTTGGTGTTTCGTTTTTTTTGTTGTTGTTGTTTTCGTTGTTCCCGTTTGGTTTCTCTTTGGTGTTCCGGTGTGTCTTTGGTGTTTCGTTTTTTTTTTTTTTGTTTGTTGTTGTTTTTGTTGTTCCCCTTTGGTTTCTCTTTGGTGTTCCGGTGTGTCTTTGGTGTTTCGTTTTTTTTTTGTTGTTGTTTTTGTTGTTCCCCTTTGGTTTCTCTTTGGTGTTCCGGTGTGTCTTTGGTGTTTCGTTTTTTTTTTTTGGGTTGTTGTTTTTGTTGTTCCCCTTTGGTTTCTCTTTGGTGTTCCGGTGTGTCTTTGGTGTTTCGTTTCGGTTTCTCTTTGGTGTTCCGGTGTGTCTTTGGTGTTTCGTTTTTTTTTGTTGTTGTTGTTGTTGTTTTCTTTGGTGTTCCGGTGTGTCTTTGGTGTTTCAGTTTGGTTTCTCTTTGCTGTTCCGGTGTGTCTTTGGTGTTTCGTTTTTTTTTTGTTGTTGTTTTTGTTGTTCCCCTTTGGTTTCTCTTTGGTGTTCCTTTGGTGTGTCTTTTTTGTTTTGTTTTTTTTTTGTTTCCCCTTGGTTTCTTTTGGTGTTCGGTTGTCTTTGGTGTTCCGTTTTTTTTTGTTCTTGTTGTTTTTGTTGTTCCCCTTTGGTTTCTCTTTGGTGTTCCGGTGTGTCTTTGGTGTTTCGTTTTTTTTGTGTTGTTGTTTTTGTTGTTCCCCTTTGGTTTCTTTTTGGTGTTCCGGTGTGTCTTTGGTGTTTCGTTTTTTTTTTTTTTTTTTTTGTTCCCCTTTGGTTTCTCTTTGGTGTTCCGGTGTGTCTTTGGTGTTTCGTGTTTTTTTTGTTGTTGTTTTTGTTGTTCCCCTTTGGTTTCTCTTTGGTGTTCCGGTGTGTCTTTGGTGTTTCGTTTTTTTTTGTTGTTGTTTTTGTTGTTCCCCTTTGGTTTCTCTTTGGTGTTCCGGTGTGTCTTTGGTGTTCCGGTGTTTTTTTTTTTGTGTGTGTTGTTTTCGTTGTTCCCCTTTGGTTTCTCTTTGGTGTTCCGCTGTGTCTTTGGTGTTCCGGTGTTGTTGTTTTTTGTTTTTGTTTTTTGTTTGTTGTTTTTGTTGTTCCCCTTTGGTTTCTCTTTGGTGTTCCGGTGTGTCTTTGGTGTTCCGTTTCTGTTTTTTGTTTTTTGTTGTTGTTGTTTTTTTTTGTGTTTTTTTGTGTTGTTTTTGTTGTTCCCCTTTTGTTTCTCTTTGGTGTTCCGGTGTGTCTTTGGTGTTCCGTTTTTTTTTTGGTTGTTCCCCGTTGGTTTCTTTTTGGTGTTCCGGTGTGTCTTTGGTGTTCCGTTTTTTTTTTTTGATTTTTTTCCGGTGTTGTTGTGTTTGTGTGTGTGTTTTGTGTTTGTTGTTTTTTGTTCCCCTTTGGTTTCTCTTTGGTGTTCCGGTGTTGTTTTTGTTTTTTGGTTTTGTTTTTTTGTTGTTGTTGTTTTCCCCCTTTGGTTTCTCTTTGGTGTTCCGGTGTTGTTGTTTTTTGTTGTTTTTTTTGTTGTTGTTTTTTGTTGTTGTTGTTTTCCCCCTTTGGTTTCTCTTTGGTGTTCCGGTGTTGTTGTTGTTTTTGTTTTTGTTTTTGTTTTTTGCTTTTTTTGTTTCCCTTTGGTTTCTCTTTGGTGTTCCGGTGTTGTTGTTTTGTTGTTGTTGTTTTTTTTATTGTTTTTTTTTTGTTCCCCTTTGGTTTCTCTTTGGTGTTCCTGTGTTGTTTTTTGTGTTTTTGTTTTTGTGTTGTGTTTTTTTTGTTCCTCTTTGGTTTCTCTTTGGTGTTCCGGTGTTGTTGTTTTTCCCTTTGGTTTCTCTTTGGTGTTCCGGTGTTGTTGTTGTGTTTTTTTGTTTTGTTTTTTTTATCTTTGGTTTCTCTTTGGTGTTCCGGTGTTGTATTTTTTGTTGTTTTTTTGTTTGATGTTTTCCCTTTGGTTTCTCTTTGGTGTTCCGGTGTTGTATTTTTTTTTGTTCTTGTAAATTGTTTTTCCCCTTTGGTTTGTCTTTGGTCTTCCGGTGTTGGTTATTTTGTGGTTGTTCATTGGTTTTTTTCCTTTGGTTTCTCTTTGGTGTTCCGGTGTTGGTTATTTTGTTGTTGTTGATGGTGTTTGTCCCTTTTGGTTTGTCTTTGGTCTTCCGG